TATGACCTGAGGCTTCAATTTGTGGACCCTCGCATGGACATCAAGGAGTTCCTCAAAGCTTGTGCGGAAGTGGTCTACGAAGACATTGGCAAGACGGTTTCTCACTACGGTGGTCTCCGAATCACAGCCAGTCAGGCCATCGAGTACGCGGCATGGGGAAAGGCCAAACAGTTGGCATGGGACAGAGGATACGACTCCGAAGGCAAGACATGCTACATCTGCTACTACGATGCCGGGAACTGCGCTTATGCTGGTTTCATGAGAATGCTTTTGACTCCGGAGGAGCGCCAAGAATGCTACAGAGGGTCAGCCTTGCCCAAGGAGGAACTCCTGGGTGACACGGTGGAGCTGGCACTCGGGCTTCTTACAATTGCAATGAGACACCCAAGTCATTTTCCAAATTGGGGTGGCCTTGAGGGGGCAAATGCGTGCGTGAGGGGGATCGAAAGGTCATTCTTCCGCTACGCGTCGGCCGAAGCTATCGAGCTGATCACGGTTGACTCCCCGCGCAAGAGGACACCGCCCAAGAAGAATGAACAAGTCGCTGAGATCGTCAACAACATGTCCGCTGACCTCGTGATTGACTTCACAGTGATCGTCGATGGCGATATCTACCCCGTAGAGATTGCAAGGACCGACGAGACACAGGCCGCTGACAACGTCACGGACGATCCAGGGTTCTCCGTTGCTCCACCAATACCTGCACAGGATGTAGATGTGGATGCGCAACCCGAAGAAGAACAAGGTGCAGAAGACCCTGATCCCAGGCAGATGATTCGTGAAGGATTTGTCGCGCAGCTTCAGGACTATGTGGGAGTACTCGCTCAGGGCGAAATGTCGGTCGGAAGCGATAGACTCACGTTCTGTATCGCTTGTGGCAGTGATCAACACCATCTGTCCAATTGCACGGAAAATGCTGCGACCCGGGATCTGATACTTCGAGGCATCCAGATCATCAAAGAAAGTCTTCTTCGATATCCACGTCGAGTACCTCCACAGCAAGATGAGCCAATGGACGTTGACACCACAGACCATGTGAGTGTTGCATCCTCGGACCGACGACCCAAGGCCAAAGCCCGACCGCGACGCGGAGGCGAAGCCGTACGGGGTGATGTGGTCTTGATCCGTTACGAGAACAAACACAATCTCTGCACGGATGTGGAGAACCGTCGGGGCCTACATGATGCTTGTGGAGTACCACTGCAGGACATGGGACCAGAGAACAGCCAGCGGGTGGTGGACCTCATTGAGCAGCTTTCGGACCATCGCGACCGACGCCTACCTCAACGAGGAGACCGTCCTAGCTTTGAATATGATGATACTATTCAGGGCTACACCAATGCAGGCTACGAATGCATCGGCGGCGGAAGGCCAATCCGATGCGGGATTCTCGACCTGATCCCAACCAAGGGTGCAAGCTTCATCCACAATCGATGGGACATCGTGAACGAAGTTGTCCTTCGCAACATCACCCATCATCGAAGAAGGAACGCGGATTGGGCGCTATCATGCATTCAATCTGACCTGCGTCACAGAATCGCCAGGCGCCCAGGCTCGGAATGGCTTGACAACAGGTGCCAAGTGGCATTCAGCAGCGTCATTCGATGTGATGAAGGAGGGTGGGTGCTGATCGAGGATTTGGTGAGGCATGAGCAACTATGGACCCATGACAGCAGACGCATCACCGAAGCGGTCTCAAGGACCGATGATCAACAGAGGAAGAGAGTGTACAATGAAAGACTCCAGCTATTGTTCCAAGGGAACATGCTCGCAGCCACGAGACGCCACAAGGCCAAGATTCGGCTGCAGTTCCTGGGAGTGAGAGTGAAGGACCCCGGCACGGAGACTCTTGGATCCGCAGGCTCGAACATGTTGGTATCGATTCCTGACCAGATCACAGAGATCCAGAACAATGATCGTTGCCGGCACAGCCAGAGGTACCTGAACGTTTGCAACGGCTGGGTGAAGCCATGGGCAGTTCGGGCTACGAGTGGTCACTCTGCGCACTCAGATCCCCAGAACAATTTGCTTCAGTTGGACAAGAACAGGTTCGCAATATCTCCATCTATGACCCTCTTGCAACGTCTTGGAGGCGCGTTCCACGCTACGGCATGCCGCAACCTGGATTCCATTGTCACGCAAGGCATCATGCCTGGTTCGGAGGACCCCGACGGGGACTTCGACCATAGGCGCCAATTTCGAGGCAACCAAGGCGGCAGACTCCACAGCTACTGGGGGGTATTCGCACCGTTCGATCACCGGAATGCGACGACCAAGATGCGGGTACATGGACCACAAGCCAAGCACATGCCGCTGGCGGTCCTCCATGTCCCATCGCAGGACCTTGCACGAGAAGATGGACGTATCACAGACAGCGGCATCATGATCGTTGGCCGAACGATACCGTTCCAGTTCGTCAAGGAGGTATGGTTTTGCGTCCCGAATCCTCAAGATACACACTCTTTCGCTCTGGTGGAAAAGATCTACGATGAACGGTTGGAGAAAGAGATGGTGTTGGACTACAATGCATCACCTTTGCTCCCTGAGTTCGAGAGATACCGAACACCAAGCAAGATCATGGAATTGCTTTGCGAGATGCCTCCTGGACCCCACGACACCAGCAAGGAGCAGATCATTCGAGACCTTACGACTGTCCTGGAGTCCCACAGGGAGAACACGGTTCGGCATCACTACATGGACAAAGGGATCAAGTTTGTCATCAAGAATTGGCGACCCGAAGACCTACGCAGAGACGAGGATGGAAGGAGAATGAGGGTGTGCCCGGCATGCTACAACATCGTTCCAGCATGCTTCTCCCGATGCACGTCCTGCTGGTCACAATTCGTTTCTTGCGGATACTACCAAGGTTCTCCACAACGGGAGACTCCTACGGAGATCCCCAGTGACTTCATTGCTCAGACAATGGAAGCTGCGGCAGCAGCAGTGCCTGAGGCGACCGTCGAGGAGCAGGAAGCCATGGAGATAGAGACCGTTGCGGAACCTGAGGAAATCCCAGAACCATCTGTCATCGCGGAGGACGATCCAGAACAGGAACCTGATGAAGAAATGGACACAGAGCCAGGAGAGGACTTTGATGACGCAGTACCAGATGCAGTTGCACAGGAACGACGTCCCGTCCTCATCGCCGGCCAGTCTTTGAACATCGATCCTGAACTACAACTCGCACGCACCGCCATGCAGCCATCCTACTACTCAGGAAAGCGAAATGCCCATTGCATCGACGCCAACATGGCCGCTCTTTCGTATATGGCATTCGTGGTATGCAGAACCATCTACAAGGCTTGGTCAGGATTCGCGAAGTGGGCGACTATGCCGTTGTTCCAGATGAAGGAGAATTTCGCACTTGGCCAACGCTATGATGTGCTCGGAAAATGGGGATCTTTGGCTGTAGTGGACAGAGAGACGGGTGTGAGCAGGGATGTGACTGACGAGGAGATCATTCGCTTTGCCAAGGAGCCTGAGAACCTCAAGCAGTACGATCCCAACGGGACTTACACTTTGAAGCGCTTCCGGACGAATCAGATGCTTTCGTTGCTTACACGGGGAGCCAACATGATGGGAATTGGCAGGGACAACTTCAACCCTACTACGTACTTGAAGAGCAACAGGGATGAAGATGTGAAGGCTATGCACTTCTGTTGCCTGAACGTCCTGTGCGAGGTGATTCCGATGGTGACAGGACACCAACAATTCTCAGTGCTACGACCAACGCCAACTGGACCGGTGGACTTCCTGTACATCGACCCCGTCGGTATCCTGCTGACTCATGCCGATCATTCAGTCCAGACCATTGGATTGCTGGTGGACCACAATGTGCAAATGCCTGCGCATTTCATGGACAGATTGGTCAGATCCAAGGCTGAGAGACAGCAAAATCCGACAACCAAACGTACTGAAGCCCTACATCACATCTCGGCCGCTGACTATCTCCCTCCAGGTGGTACTTCCATCCTGGACACGCCTGTCACTACGGAGGAACGTGCAAGCGCTTCTTCGGCCAAGGGACCTTCAAAAGGGCGTGAGAGAACCGGAGGTGAGCAGCATGGAGGTTGGAACTCCAATTCCTACTACGACTACACCGCCGGTAAAGGCCGAAACAAAGGCAAGGACAAAGGAAAGCAAAGGGAACAGTATCCAGAGGAAAACCTCCGGCCCTGGGACCGCGATCCTGCGACCACGCGAAGATGGAGATGAATCAACGCTTGGTCTACCTCGTCTTTCAGTTCGTGACCTCTGAGCTTCGCCCGTGGAATGCCATCGCGAATGCTTCTTTCTTCGGTGACGCCTGATTCGTTTGCCATTTCAGGGGATCGTTACTGACGTAGATGAGTGTCACAACGTTTCTAATTGGGATGCAAAGCTCTGATTTTCAATGTCAACGTTGCGGCGGAACATTTTCTGTTGTCCTATCGTGCCATCTTCCGGGTGAGCAGCGTCGGAGACGCAACTCATGGGGGGTGCGAACGGACTGCGATGCCTTGTCAAGTTCTAAGGTGTCACTATAAGAGCTGTGAGCAAGACCATGTAAAGTGCAAGGGAAGGGGGCACGCTACGCGTCCCTCGACCCTAAGGGGGCACGCTACGCGTCCCTCGACTCTAGGAGTAAGCTTGTGGACGTGCTGCGCACACCGCATCGCTTCTCCTTACCTTTCTATGTGACCGCCCACGCAACGTTTGGCTCAAGTCAATGCCCATAGCTAAGTGCTATATGTGTCTTCTATCCTGAGCAATCAGAGCTATCCCGTGCACAGACGAACCGCCGCCGGCAGCGAGTGCAAAAGGAACGGCCGCCGGTTCTGCCTGCATAGGATTGCACGTGTGGAAGTGTGAGAGAGACAGGGTCCAGTCTGTGGAGAGTGCAAGCCAGCCACACCTATATTCATTACAGCTCTGGTGGGGAGAGCAGCAACACAATCGAGATCAAATCCCCACGCACTAAACCCCTAAGCCCTAACCCTTGTAGTGACGGTGCCACCGAGGACGTCTACCGCTTTGAGAGGGACTTCCAGGAAGCTCCCGCGGAATGGCGCGGGGCTGAGTCTTAGTTCCGCAATACCTAACCTTTAAACCTTTTCGGTTCTTATAGTTTACTAGGAATCGGAAAATTTGACCTTTTATTTCTGCTATTGGGGTAGTAAGGAGTTGCTTCTAGCTGTTATTGTGGTTTTTGTGTGGTTAATTCAGTCTTAGGAGCTGTAATTGCTGAGTTGTTGCTAAGGTTTCTGTGCAGTTTGGGGTTTAGGGTTTAGGGATTAGTTTAGGGTTAAGGGTTTGGGGTTAAGGGTTTAAGAGTTTAAGGTTTTATGTCAGGGCTCCTTGAAGGGTTCTGTGCTCGGGGGAGGGGGTTCGATACTAATTTTCCAGATTTTGTGGTAATTGGAGTGTGCGCATCGTTTAGCATGTGGGTTAGGTTTCAGGGTGGGGTTCTCGACTTTGTCACGAGTTTTTGATTTTGGTCTTCGGCCGTGATTGCTAAACTGCGGCACTCAAGCCTGCAGAGCCCTAATGCTGCAACCCTGAAGCTCGAAGGGCGAAGCTTGCAGGCAGACTTCTACTTCCACAAGCCTCCATGTAGGGTTCAGGGCTTAGGGCAAGCTAGGATCCTGCATCCTACGAAAATCGTAGGTTGTGACCACTTACTTAAGTCTTAAGACAGTAGGTTTTCGGATCCACAGAATCAAGCGCCGGCTGCGCCAGTTTCATGTACCTTGAACTACCAACACCGACTGTTGTGTAGGGTCCCGATAAATACAAGATGAGAGGTTATAATCAGTAATCAGAACCTACGCAACGACACCCCACCCCCTGCCTCATACAAGTTTTTCAGGATTATATCCATATAATTCATTATTGGGGCCTTTTCAAGAAAGGAGTAATGATGGGTTTACACTATGGTGCTTGAGCTATATATGGTTGACTAGTTTAGGGTTTGTTTGTATTCAGGGTCACACTGACCTTTATCATAAATTTGCAGCCTGTTCAGAGCAATGCCAAGTATGACTATCTGGAGTTCTGCAGCTGGTTGCGTTGTTCGAGGCAAGATGCGTCTTGAAGGTTTTCCAGAGCTTTCCAACAAGCTGCAGCTGCAACGTAAGGGTGCGCATCATCAACCAGACCAAACCCAAACCCTGGACCCTAAGCCCCTAAACCCTGAGCCCTAAACCCTAACACCCTAAACCCTAAACCCATAGCATCCTGGAGCCTAAGATGCGAAGTTGCTGTCAGGATCGTTTCCGCCACCACAGGGCACTTCACGGATATTCGCATGGCTTACGGACTGCCCAAGCAGGCGGGGGACTTTTTCTTCCCCAATCATTTCTCTACGATGGGCTTTGCAGGTGTTCTAAAGGGTTTATGGCATCCTGGGATTTAAGGCTTTTGTGTTGCAGGGTTGGGCTGTTTCCCGGTTGCGGGTTTGGGTCAGTGCCATATTCGCATTGCGAACGGCGTCACTTACGAGTTCAGATGGTTCGTCAGCCCTAAACCCCAATCGGGGTTCCTGTTCAGCAACTTAACTTAAGTTGCATACCATAATTCGTAAATAAAAAGGTTTCCTTACTGGGGTTTCTTAATCTAAGTGCCTTAACAAAGAACCCAGTCTGCACTCTACTTGGACGACTTATCCAGTACAGTTATAAGTACCCTACTTGGGATTAAAAGTACATATAAGTGTAGTTACCATAACTATAACCTGAGTTACTAAGTCTCATGAACCTCTTACTAGACCCTAAACCTTAAACCCTACAGATCCCTCTAAGGAACCCTATACATCCCTTGAAGGAGCTTTTCAGTCTGAAGGTTAGGATTTAGGGTTTAGGATTTGGGATTTGGGGTTAAGGAGTTGTAGGGTTTCGGGGTTTAGGGTTTAGCATTTAGGATGTAGGGTTGAGGAGTTGTAGGGTTTCGGGGTTTGCGATTTAGGGTTTAGGGTTAAGGAGTTGTAGGGTTTCGGGGTTTAGGGTTTAGGGGTTCAGGATTTAGGATATAGGGTTAAAGAATTGTGGGGTCTCAGGGTTTAGGATTTAGGGTTTAGGATTCAGGAGTTGTAGGGTTTCGGGGCTTAGGGTTTAGCATTTAGGATTTAGGGTTAAGGAGTTGTAGGGTTTCGGGGTTTAGGGGTTTAGGGTTTATGTTAAGGATTTGTAGGGTTTCAGGGTTTAGGGATTCAGGGTTTATGATTTCAAGTGTAGGGTTTAGGGTCATAATTAGAAGCCCGTGCGAACAGCTCAACGGCGCCGCTGACCCCGACATCTTCGAGCGCGAGCTCGAGGTGGACTGTATCAGGCGGACCAGAGACTCCTAAGACGAGGGTTTAGGGTTTTGGCATTTTGGGTGTTTGGGGTTTAGGGTTTAGGGCTTTTTTGGGTTTGAGATTTAGGGTTTAGGGCAAGTCGCCCGAGCGCTCTAGCGTGGCTCAGTTTTTTCCCACCCTCGACCCACCCGGAGTAGCTTTGTTATAGAGGTGTGCTGGTCGGTCGCACTATGTCTGTGTACCTCACGGCCTAATCGAACAGTGTCCGTTCCCGGTCTGCACTGGTGGCTTAACCCTCCAGTGGCAGGATGCGATCGTAAAGCAATCCTTTGGGGTTTAGGGTTTAGGGTTCACTTTTTCTCAACTTGAGGATCCCTCCTTGATCTGTTTCATTTGATTCTGTTCTTGTCGATTCTGTTCTAGGTCATCTTATTCGAACCTGTTCCTTTCTATTCCATTCCAGTGTATTCTATTCTGCTGTACTGTATGAAATCAGATTGTATGGTATTTGGTGATGTTATCAAGGATGCTCCGAAATTGAATCAAGTGTTTCGGAGTGTCTGGGTATCTCTGAACAATTGCGTTCAGGCATGCAGGGGTTAGAGTTTGGCTTGCAAGACTGTCCGAAGCCCTAAACCTAGACTGGAATCGGCTCGGTCCCCTTTCAGAGCCGGATTCATCTCAGGTTCCAACGAAATCTTGAGACGAACGCCCTGAACCTTAGGAATCGTGTTCGGGGGCTTCGGTGCCTTGGGCTTCAGGCTTATGTGCTTATGTGCAGAAACCGTTCGTTTGTAGAGAGGCTTCGGTTCCTTTTTTCCAATTCACGGTCACAAAAGGGTTTGTGTGTTTATCTGTTCGTGCGTGAGGTCGCGACACGAGTTAGGATGCGACCCTACAGAATTCCTTCAGAATCACCCATCCTAGGCCTCAATTTCTTTCATCCCCAAACCCCAAACCCTGAACAAATCGCAAACCTTCACCCTGGCAGTGACGAACACCAAAAGATGCGGACTCAGCTGCGGCTCATCGCGAGCCTAGGCGGAATATGGGTCTAAGTGTAGGGTTTAGGCTATGGAGTTTAGAGTTTGGGTGTGTGCGGTTTAAGGGGGTCAGGGCGTCCACAGCAACCCCAAGCCGGACGCCCTAAAGCTTGAGCCAAGTCCCGCTTCAACTTTCACGGAAACCCTAAACCCTAAACCCCTAAACCCTAAACCCTAAACCTTAAAGCTTAAAGCTTAAACCCTGGCTAGGTTGCGAAGACTACTTAGGATCGTGGGACCTAGTATGTAGGGTTATAACTATACCTCAAATGAGGCTACAAGCAACTATAAGTATGGTTACCCGCAGTCCCATGATCCTCTAATTACATTGGTTCTGCTTGGCATCAGACTTGATGTCGCGCCATTCGAGCTACGCTGAATGCCGGGTGAAGGAACTGACAAACACACCGAGGAACTCTACAAGGCTTTCTTGACACTAAAAAAAGCCTTTACCATGGAGGTCAGAAGTACGAGTAATCTTTTTTGTACAATGCGCCAAAATCCCACTGAAATCGTTTCGGCCCCAAATAAGCTTTTAACTTGAAGTTCGCACTACTCTGCAATGAAGCCCGCTTGGAATCGAAACCGTAGAGCAATGCTGTTCTCGATTTACGGTTCAGGCTTTGCGGGTTTGAGTTTGGGTCGAAGGGGGCAAATGCGTGTGCACAGCCTTAGGGCGTGGCGCAAGCTTAATGTTAAGAGATTTGCAGGATTTAGGGTTTAATTAAGGTTTGGGAGTTTTCGGATTTTGGGTTTGGAGGTTTAGGGTTAGGGAGAAATGAGGGTGCAAGACGTGGGGGTGTGAGCATTTAAAGATTCCAGTCCTTTTGGGTCTTGAGGTTCTTAAAGGGTTTAGGGTTTAGGGTACACCCTGCTGCACCATAGTCGCTGCCCTTTTTTGGGCCCCCTACAAATAAATTCTGTTATGGGGTTTACAGTTTGTACGTATGCAAAAGTAGGCGATGGTTACTTACCGTACGAGATTTCAGCGAAGGAATGGATCTGACCTCCTCATTCTCGCATTGGATGCCGACATGGAAGGACAGAGTCCTAGAATCTTTCTGGTTTAAGGTTTTGCATTCAGGGTTTCCGGTTTGAGGTTTCGGGTTTCGGGTTGTCATGTTCGGGGTTTCGGGTTTAGTGTATGTTCGGGGTTTATGGTTTCGGATATGGGGTTTCAGGGTTTTGGGTTTCGGGTTGTTTATAGGCGATTGATTTTGCGACAAGTCTGTGTTGAGTACATCGTACTTTGGTGATGAGCTTGAAAGCCTGTCAAACGAAGGCTTTTTTCTTCTCTCCCCAATGTCGGCTAAAGCGGCCGAACCATCCAAACCCTAAACCCTAAACCCTCTCCTCCTTGTAGGGTTTAGCCCGAAACTCCTTCCGGAACAAGTTTTTAAGGCGGAGTGGGCAGCGGGCACTTAGAGGTTCATGGGACTTAGTGACTATGGTTATAAACAAGGTAACCATACTTATAATTGCTTATCATTCCAACTAAGGTACTTATAACCTCACTTACTAAGTCCCATGATCCTCCAAGTGGGGGCCCACCCTAGACCCTAGTCCAGCCTTATCCTTTTTCATGGTTCCCTCAAAAGAGTAAACAGACCGGCTAGTAGACCTTCTTAAACAATCCCTACCAAGGGATATAGGTATAGGGCTCTGTCTGTTATTTCTAAAAGGACAAGGGTGCCCTAATCCCTGAACCCTGACTTACCAAGTCCCACTGATCTCGCAGAAGGCCCTACTATTTGCTTAAGAACCCGCCAAAAAATAAAAAATGATAACCCCTATATTATCCCTATAAGGAATCTATTTTTTACTTTTTTGGGGTTCTTAAGCAAATAGTAGGGCCTCTATGTCGGGCGCCGATCTGATTCCTACAGTATTCCGAAACCCTGTGCTTTCAACCCTGGTCGTAAACCTTACTTGAAAATCCAAACCCCTGCGGTTTTAAGGGTTCTAGCCTGCAATCAAGGCATCATGTCCTGCTATGTTGTGGGGTTTGGGGTCACAGGTACACCCTGGAACTTATCCCGAGGCTCCTAGATAAAAATCTCATAGTGTGCCACAAAACGCTCTAGATCACGATCAAGTTATTCAGTTCCTATGTTTAAAACCACATGGAAACGGCTGAAGCCATACAACCCCAACTGTAGACCAGGTTGTTGGATGTTGTTGGAACGCATGACACCTCATACTTTCCAGCGGTTTTGCGAGCCCTGCCAGGTGAGTGCATCGCTCGGCAAGTTGCGCAGGTGGCCGAGCCCCGCATCTGGGCACCCAAAGGTTGTAGGGTCTTAGGGTTTGGGGCTTGTCATTGATAGGATTTCACGGGGGTTGCTGGGTTCTGATCCCCAGCAGTAGCTAATTATGCCATATTACAAGCTGGTTGGTGAACTCTTGCAACCCATCTAGTCCTCACAGAACATGGGCTCACGGAACATCGACCTTTACAGCCCGTCCCCTGTAGAGGGTTCAAAATCTCCCAACCCAAAGCCTGAATCCCAAATTCTAAACTGCACCCTGATGCCGGCAAGGTATGCGAAGCCATGACGTTCGAAGGCCGCACAGCCCTTGCGTTTAGGGTTTGGGGGTTTTGTATTTCAGATATTTATTAGGGCCACGGTTCTCAAAGGGTTCCTTAACTTAGTAGCTGAGTGGATACACTTTACACTTTTGGGGATAATTTTACCCACCATAAAACTAGAAGTGTACACTTTTGGGGGCTTATGAACTCAGCAACTAAGTTGCAGTAGAAGCCCAAAAGTTGGAAACCCAATAGCCTCAATCCTGAAGAGCAATGTATAGGGAACCCCAGCACTATTTGGCCTTAATCCGGTTTCCAACTTTATGGAAACCCTAAACCCTAAACCCTAAACCCTGTAAAGGGTTCCTTGCCGGGTTGCGGCCCTGCACCCTCCGCTCCCACCTGCGCGGGGGAGGCTGCATCCGGGTGCACTGACACCTCCACGGGTCAACTTGAAACCAACAGGCACCTACTTACAGCGGTAGTTACTTCTACGTGACATAAAAGTATAGTGTATTTATATATATATATATATATATATATATATATATATATACATACATACATACATATGGAGTTGTGACCCAAAGCTCGCCTAGGTCCAATATGTCCGTGTATGGTTGTTTTTTGCTGACAGCTCATGGTTTGGGCTTTGGGGCCCAGGATGTATGCTCCCCCCCTCCAACTTTCAAGCCAGACTCCCCACACCCTAAACCCCGCGCCCAAAACCAGGGAGGGCGGTTTCGTTGTTTTTTGCCTCCGATGCTCTGGCTGATCGGGTTGGGTGCATATGATTAGTTTGATAAGGTTGCACAACTTCAGGAAGCTTTATGTTTTAGTAGATGCCTATTACTGTATTTTATGAACACCCTACACCCTAAACCCACCCCCAAACCTGAAGCCCTCAGCCTTAGATCACGTTCATTACCCCAACACTCCAAATCCATTAATTAAGTAAGGACTACACCTCAGATTATAGTAGGATCCCTTATCTGATTTAAGGAATGTTCTTTGATTAAGGGACATTGCAGTCCCCTAACCCCTAAACCCTATAGATCCCTTATAGGAACCCTTTAAAGGAACCCTTGTAGATCCCTTTTTAAGGGACCTTGAAGTCTTTGAGTAACAAGAGCCCACTTAGAGGTTCATGGGACTTAGTAGCTATGGTGATAAGCAAGGTAACTATACTTATAATTGGTTATTTCCCCAGTTAAGGTACTCATAACTGTATTTACTAAGTCCCATGATCCTTCAAGCAGCAGGTGCTGGTTCACTTCGCTCGGACAAACTCATCTTCTGAGCCTTGGCTTAGGACCCAGAGTAGGTTTAGGGTTTAGGGTGAAGGGTTTAGGCTTTAGGAGTTTAGGGGTTTAGGGGTTTAGGGTTTAGGGGTTTAGGGTTTGCAAGGCCTTGCCCCCCCTTCCTCGGAGTGCTCCTTTACACCCTAAACCCTAGACCCTAGACCAAACCTTAAGCCCTTTAGGGTTTCTACGGTTCTATAAGGTTCTTTCGGTTTAAATTAAGGTTTCCAGATTTGAGAGCAAAACTCCGCGGCAATCCCGGGTCTAGTCGGTTATTGAGGCCTCGGCACATCACTCTGTGTAAGGGGTTTAGGATTTAGGGTTTACAGTGCTGAACTGACATGAATCCCCACACCGTAAAGTAAGCGTCCATTAAAGACTTATACTAAGAGCCTATCTCAACTCATCCTAAGTCCGAAGTCCTACAACCTCAACCCTGAACCCAACGCCTAAAGTTCTAGAATCTGAACCCTAACCCTAAACCCTCGTCCCATTCATTCCTAAAATCTCAACCCCTTAACAAACCCGAATCTCTGGCCGTTGGGCTGAAGCTTGAAAGGATGCCTGTCGGGGCCCAATGCCCCTGAAGTGCGGGTTTAGTGCTTGCCCTAAACCCTCAATCTTCATAGCATGCACTCTTTTACGCACGCCCCTCAATGTAATATATATATATATATATATATATATCAAATGTTCAAGCTAGCTTCAATGCATGTGAGTGCTTTTGGATCCGATCATGCGAGCATTCTGTTTGCAAATGGCGGGTGGCCCCCCAAACCCCACTGCTGCTTTAAGCCGTGAAGGCTTGCTTCAAAGTGCATGAATTTCCCTTTTTGAAACCCATCATGCGATCATTGTGTTCGGGACTTGTTGTAGATACATGATGAACTGGAATCGCCAAATGAAGTGGCATGTTTAAGATGTACGACGGTACGGAATCACCTATGAAGGGGCGTGTTTTAGATATATAGGATGAGCCGGAATCCCCAAACGAGGGAACATGTTTAGGATATATGAGGAACCGGAAACGCCAATTGAAGGGGCGTTGTTGAATATATACATATATACATATATATATATATATATATATTTATTTATGTATATATATATGTATATGTATATATTATGAACAGGAAATGCCAAATGAGAAGGCGTGTTGTAGATTTATGAGGAACCGGAATCGCCAAATGAGGCGGCGTGTTGTAGATTTATGATGAACCGGAATCGCCAAATGAGGGGGCGCGATGTAGATATACGATGAACCGGAAGCGCCAAATGACACGTGAGCGGGTGTTTACAAGATATGATGAATCGGAATTAGTTATAGTATAATGGGCCCCGAAACCCTATTCTAATCATTAAGGCCCCTATAGTAGGTTTGCGAGGGCACCGCCGCAGATATATCACAACAATTCCAAAGCCTCTGCACGCGCTGAGTCTTAAAGTTCAGTGAATTCCCAAAACACTTAAATCACGAAGTCCTAAAATCCTGAAGCCCCACAAGCCCTAAAACCGCGATCCTAAATCCTAAACCCGCGAGCCTAAACCGGATAAACCCTAAGCCCCAAAAAAAAACAAGCCAAGCCTTGCTCCAAGGAGGGCCCTAGAGAGTCTTCGGGACTTGAACGAGGCGGTCGCTGACGCGTGTGAAGTGCGGCGTCACGTGGACTATCGGCTTGGGCAGGTGGGGTTTAGGGAGCTTGAAAGAGATTGAACCCTAAACCCTAAACCCAAAACCTAAGCCGATTAGGAGCATTATTCCTTGGGGATCCGTACTTGGAGGTTCATGGGACTTAGCAAGTAGGCTTGTAAGTGCCTTAACTCGGGTTATGGTTAGTTAGAAGTATGGCTACATTTGTAACCCTAGGACCTATGTCCCATGAACCTTTAAGCCAACCTTTAAGTAGTACAGTAAATCTGTTATAATGGGAAACAAAACCATCTCGTATGGCAAAGGCTCCTATATTGTGGGTTAAGTGCTTGGGGTTTTGGGCATTTAACAGGTTTTGGTTTCGGAGGTTTCGGCCTTGGGGTTCGATTTTGGAGGTTTCGGTTTTAGCATGAAAGTTTCGGGGCCTTGCATGTTTTGCGACAGGCCGGGACGCTGGCACTCAACGCGTTCGCGGAGCGGCACAGGCCCCTGCTGGAAGGATCTTTACCGAAACTGTGCTTGAATTATGGAATTTGTGGTGACCACAATAGGAGTAATGTAGGGCCGTAATCATTTAGATAGGGTTGTAGGGGCGATGCGGACATGAGTCTGGTGCGAATGAAGATATAGATGATTTGTGCATCCGTTGAACTCTCAGCTATCTTTGAGCTGACATAGGGTTTTAGGGGATATTAAGCTGTAAATACCTATTCTAATTATTAAGACTCCTACATCATGTCGTACATGATATGCCTTCTTCCTGATTACTTACGGTAGCTTTAGCCCAGTTCCTTCACGAGAACCTAGGAAATTCTTTCGCAATCGCCATGGCCGACAGCACACGGAGTATGCTGAGGATGAGGAGCCCAGGGTTGTGCCGTAGGGCTTCGAGGGTTGCGGGGAAGGCGTGGTTTTGGGTTCAGATGGTTTAAAGGGAACTCCAGAAAGTTGGAATATGGTTTCATGGTAGGATACCCTATAATTTACCATAGAAGGGTTAGGATAATCATATTCCAACTTTCTGGCTTTTACCTTAGGGCTTCTAGGGATATTATGGGGTTGAGGGGTTTAAGTCTGAAGGCTTTATGGTGAGCCCGGAACGCTTTTGTGTGCCTTCCTTTTTCTGTGATGGGCTCAAGCCCCTAAACCCTGAACCCTAAACCCCAGGCCCGAGCTGGAGCACAGAGGTCTGGCCTAGGCCTCGCATCAACTGATAGAAAGAGAGCGAGACAAAAGCAGGTTTCGGATTTAGGCTTAAGGGGATTGGTCGTAGTCTTCCAAAGCCTGACCTGAAGACTATATCCTAAATCCCAAACCACCCTGAGAAGGAACCCGAAACCCTAAACCCTATAGCTCCGTTATAGATCCCTCAAAGGAACCCTAGCTAGATCCCTTGAAAGAAACCTCTATAGATCCCTTACAGGAACCCTAGGTAGATCCCTTAGATGAACCCCTACAAACCCCTATGTTGAACCCCCAAGCCAACGGAAACCCCTAGACCCTAAACCCTATAGACTATAGATCCCTTCTGGGAACTGAAGGACGATACTTGGAGGGGCAGGGGACTTAGTAATTAATTAGGTTATAAGTAGAGTTATAAGTACCCTAAATGGAGTTACCCAATTATAACCTTACTTCTAAACGACTTACTAAGTCCCCTGCCCCTCCAAGTAGGTAGATTCCTTGAGAAGGAGGAGAAGGAGGCTCCTGCTTTGAGTTACGGCCCGGTCCAGACGGCGGCCATCTTCCTGGCTTGGCATCACCACATCTCTGAGAAGTTGAAGGCCTACATTAAACTGCATAAAGTTGGAAACCGGATTAAGGCCAAATAGTGCTGGGATTCCCTATACAATACTCTTAAGGATTGAGGCTGTTTCCAACTTTTGGGCTTCTACCGTAAATCCTTAGAGCCTTAGAGTTTGCAGGGGGTTAAGGGCGAATTTTGTCCGAAATCCCGAGAGTCTGTAGGGGCTAAGGGTTTTGAAGTTTGCGGCGTGCACGCTTAAGGCTTGGGGCTTAGCGTTTCGGACTTGTAGTATTGGGGGTTGAGGCTTGGGGTTTAGGGGTTAAGGCTTTTGTAGGGTTTCAGGGAATTTCAGCGAAACAGGGGCAACAAGCAACTCGGAATGGTAGGATCCGTCTTGTAAGAACCCCGCAAAGAAGAAGGCAAAGGGCGGCAGACACCTCAAGTTGTTCGTATGATTAGTGCGTTTCGGGTTTGAGGTGGCGGCAGCTTAGGATTGGTTCGACAGGGCCAAGAGTTCGGTTTTTTCGGGTCAGGCGAAGTCCACAACTTCTTAGATCCCGAATACCTAACCTTTAAACTTTTTGGGTTCTTATAGTTTAGTAGGAGTCGGAAAGTTTAACCTTCTATTTGTGTGGCTTATTGGGGTAGTAAGACGAGGAAACAGAAGTGGTTAGAGTTTAAGGAATCCGTGCCCTTGGTGTGGGTCCCTCCAACTCTCGATGTGAGGTCGTAGTCGACCCCAAACCCCAAACCGTAAAACCCTGAACACCAAAAACCCTCAACCCCCCCAAAAAAAGAAACGCGAAACCGTAAAGCTCTTGAGACTCTAAACAAACCCCCGCTTGAGGTTTCGGGTTTCAAGATTTGGGTTCACAGACCTAAATCCTTAACCCTCTAAACCTTGATTTAGGAATCTACCTTAAGTTAAGCTTCAAGTCAGTGTTGTTTTACTGTCAGTGCTCGATCAAAAGTCGTATTTGATCATACATGTTATATGGAACCCGATTTTACAGTGTAAACCATACTGTGCGAAAATGGGCCTGCAATGTGTCCGGTTCTGTAAATCGAACTAGGATCTCTAAAGTGCTTTGAGGGGTATTCCTCGACTAAAGGATTTTGGAAGGACTGGCTTCTCGGGTCGATAGAGATTTTTTGTAATCTCTTCTCATAAACACTAGTATGAAATTTGTTGGGACCCTACAAACAAGTAGGAATCTCTTATCACAGACACTGTACGAAATTTGTAGGGACCCTAAAAACAAGTAGGTTATGGTAGGTCGAGGTAGGTGTCGCCATAATTGGTTATGACCAGTATTTCGTAGAGTCCCTGTGCAACCATCCTAGACTGTACCCCAAAGCCTTGTTCAAACCAGTATCCTGCAGACGCCGGAAGATGCTCCAAGAACCTACTGAAACTAGTCTGGCTATCAGTGCTCCTATATTCGTCTTGTTTCAGGTGAAGCAGGAGTCGGACAAACGATGGCGTGTGAAGCTGACGTTGCAGTCAGACCTCACGGGCAAGTTCGAGTGCTTCTCAGACTTGATCGGCGAAGGTGCAGCGCAAGAGCAGCGAGATGTCATCCTTCAACATGTCAGGCAGCAGTCGGTTCACCAATCGTCGTGAGAGTCATCAGCCGGCTTGGGCAATGTAGGAAGCTGAGTGAGAAACCCTGGGCCCTTATTAGGGTTCCTTACATGAAGCCAAATATATTGGGGGTTATTGGCCCAGGGTTTCTTAATCAGGTTCCTACATGATGTGTGAGCCTTGAACCCTTGCATAGCTCGTGCATCGCTTTGTCGTAGTCCAGAACCTGTAATGTAGGAAGCCGATTAAGAAACTCTTCCCTATAACCCCAAATATATAAGGATCCGTATAATAAGGAACCCTAATTAATAAGGACCCAAGGTTTCTTAATCAGGTTCCTACATTGTAATTAAGGAGGACCCAAACCCTGCATGCTAGTGCAGCCGAAACACTTGCTACAGGTTCATGGCTCTTGGTACATGGAGTTATAAGTCAGATACCTAGACTTATACGTAATGTTTACCCAGGTGAGGTACTTACAACGGTGCTTACTAAATCGCCTCAACTTCCAAGTACATGCCCTCAACCCCTGACAACTGTGAGGCCAGGGCTTGGGCCAGCAAGCCCGAAGGTCAACAAGGCTGTGGAAGAGCTCGTTCCTGGCTTTGAGCGTCCCAAGCCGCTGAACTTTGTGGGGCTGCTGAAGCTGGCTGCTGCTTATGGGTTCCTGGGTTCTTGTTCTTGTTAAGGGATTAATTTGATGGTTCTTTCAAGGGTTCCTTTAAGGGATCTATAAGGGCTCCTTTAAGGGTATAGGGATTTAAATTAAGGTACCACAATAAGCAAACCACATTATTCACTGCAAATCCCAATTATGGTAACTTAAGTTAAACTCCTTTACAAGAATCCAGGTTCAAGCCATCCCAAGCGGCGGACGCCGCACAGACGTTGTATGTCAAGGGCTTCATCAGTTATCCGCGCACCGAGTCGAGTGTCTATTCAGATGATGAAGAGGCGACATTAGAGGACATCGTCCAAGACATTGCCACAGCAGACTTGACATGGGTTTGCAAGGAAGGCGCAGAGATTCAAAGATATGCCGGGAAGCTTCCCAGTCGCAACGAAAACTTTCGATGGTCTTACAGAGCAGCTTATAAGGCCATCATAACTTCTGACACCCAAACCCCTGAACTCTCGAAACCCTACAAAACCACCACTTGGAGCAACATGGGACTTGGTAAGTAATTTTATAAGTACCCTAAAATTATAACCCTAGTTATCCCTAAACCATAAAACCTAAACCCTAAACCCTAAACCCCTAAGCCCGAATTACTAAGTCCAATGATCCTTGAAGCACCCAGGCTTTTGGCCCAGGACAGCCTCAAGAAGCCTCGCCGAGGCTTTTTGGCCACAGGAGACCCTGTACCCCAAGACTCCAATGTCCCTCAATTAAGGAATATTCCTTAAATCATACTGAGGATCCTACTATGATTTAAGGTATCTTCCTTAGTAAGGGCTATTGGAGGCTCTGAAATCCTCATATGCCATACACCTTGCCTTTCAGCCCCATAAAACCCTATAAAACCCTTACAGGAGCCTGACAGGACTTGGGTTTAGGATTTAAGGTTCAGGGTTTAGGGTACCCTAAACCCTAAACCCTACACACCTTTCAGGAATCCTCAAGGAACCCTTAAATCAACCGTTGAAACCACGGGCCCCTAGTATTGGCACGTTACCTTGGGACCCCTAAATACCTCCTATATATACCCCATAAAGACTCTTAAGGGTCCCTACAACTCCTTCAAAAAGAAAAGGTCTAAGAGTCCATAGTAGGGGCCCATACTTCTTACCTTACATTAAAGGAACCTTCACGCCACAGGAGATCATGAACCGATCACACCGCTGCTGCAGCGCGATCACACTTGTGACAGCCTGGGCGGCTGGCACAGTGGGGCGAAGCTCGGATTCGCTTTCGGTTCTGCTTTTCTGAGCGTTGTACAAGTCTGTGTTAAGGGGTTTAGGGTTTAGGGGTTTATAAGAGTTTGATAGGGGAGTGGTGCTTTGGGTGTGGAGCTCAGGGTGTAGGATCTGGGGATGGACATCAACGTTCTGTTCCCCGCCTGCCCCTTACGTAGCGCAGTCATTTTACGTCGGATTTCTCCCAGGCAGGAGCTCTAACCCCCAACCCCCCCAGAAACCCAAGGTCCCTTAATTAAAGAATATAGCTTAAATCATATTATGAAGCCCCTTGTAATTTAAGTAAGGTGTACCGGAACCTACCAAAACCTACTTTTTTTGTAGGGTCCCTATATATTCCATATTTGGGTCTATAGTAAGAACCTACAAAAAAGTAGGGTTTGGTAGTTTAAGGTATTCCTTAATTATGGGGTATGTGGGCTCTCTGGGCCTGCCAAGGAGGGATCTCTACACGTTGATCCTGCGACACTGGGTTGTCCTATGGGATCTTTTCGAATTTCCCCCTATTATTTTGTAGAGAACCGTGATAGTAAATAATTTTCACTGGGCTTAAAGGACAACTCAGGATACTTCTTGGCATCCCTGTCCCCGGACTGCGTAATGCAGGCGAAGACTGTCACTCTGGGTTTTGCGGACATCGAGGTTCCCTTTGGTGGTCAGTTCCGTGTGCAGCACCGCACGCAGGCGGGAAGCTTGCCCCTAAACCCTAAACCCTCAATAAACCCCTACACCCCTAAAGCCCTACACCCTCGAAGTCCTACATGCCTAAACCCTTTCACCCTAAGCCCTAAATCCTTGAACAACAAAACCGGAATACAGAGAGCCCATAAGCCCCAAACCCTAAAGCTAATCCCGGAGCTTGAGAAGCTGTAAACGCCGAGGCCGAAACACAAACCTTCCGAAAATCCTACGCGGTTCAGGGTTTAAGGTAAAAGCCAGAAAGTTGGAATATGATTATCCTAACCCCTTTATGGTAAATTATAGGGTATCCTACCCTGAAACCATATTCCAACTTTCTGGAGTTCCCTTTAGGGCCAAAAGCCCCTCAACCCCTCAGGTCCTTAACTCTCAGCAAAGGGCTGTAGTTGGGGTTGAGGCCTTCACGGCTAAACTTTTACAAAAACTTAGTTCCCCAATACCTAACCTTTAAACTTTTTTGGGCTCTTACAGTTTACTGGGAATCGGAAAGTTAAACCTTTTATGTCTGTGGCTTCTTGGGGTAGTAAGAAAACCCTAAACCCTAAACCCTAAACCCCTAAACCCTAAACCCTAAACCCTAAACCCTAAACCCTAAACCCTAAACCCTAAACTCAAGGCATAGGCCGCCCACCTACTGTGGGTGGGCGGCGCTTAAGCCCCTCGACCTCGATGGCGCAGAGCGACCCAAGACGGCTGCCCGCCTCTCCACAGCCATGGGGACGGCAGCGCCCGCGGCTTGCCCGGTACCGGAACACGTTCTCCTCGGGACCAGTACTGGTCCCTTAACAAAGTCATTACCCTAAACCCTCACACCTGCCCCCCCCTGGCCCCCCCTGGCCCCCCCTGGCCCCCCCGGCCCCCCCTGGCCCCCCCTGGCCCCCCCTGGCCCTCCAGCTAGGGGGCTCTGGGCCACAAATTGCAAAAATTTGGCTGCCCCTTGGAGCCCCCTTCACCCCCCCTAAGCCCCCCCCCCCTGCCACTGCCATGCCCCCCAGCCTGGGTTTCTGACACCCTAAACCCCCTTGTTCCTGGACCCCAAACCTGCCCTGCCCTGCCCGAAGTTTTGTGGTCAGAAGGTGGAAGATAGAGACCAAGATGGACCTAACTGAGTTTAGGTCTAAACCCTAAAAGGAATAGGTTTGGGTGGCTTGGCCGCCTCATACGGCGTGGGGTGGGATAGAAAGAAAGGAAAAGCCTTCCATGATCAGGCTTTCGCACCTAGTCAAGGTAGTACGACGCACTTGACAGGACTTTGTCGCAAATTACTTTCGCCTACGCGCTACTCTACGGCAAACCCTAAACCCTAAACCCTAAACCCTAAACCCTAAACCCTAAACCCTAAACCCTAAACCGACCTTAAAGCCTCGGCAATAAGCCAAACCGTAGCATCCCCAAACCATAAACCCTACTTAGAGGTGCATGGGACTTAGTAGCTAGGGTTATAAGGGGCTCCTTGAAAGGCTCCTTAAAGGGATCCATAGGGTTCTCAGAGGGATCTATAGGGTTTAGGCTTTAGGGTCTACTTAGAGGTTCATGGGACTTAGTAACTAGGGTTATAATTACGGTAACTACACTTATATGTACTTATAATCCTAATCAGGATGCTTATAACTGTACTTACTAAGTCCCATGAACCTCCAAGTAGATCCTAAGCCCCAAACCTCCAGACCCCTAAGACGCTGAACCCAAAGTTGGGATTGCGACGCCAACTACCCCCCAAGATAGCTTTCCTGGGGATCCCAAAACCTTCCGTTTTAAGGCTTCGACCCTCTAACTAAGGGGTTATAACCTACTATTTTCTAGGGTTTGGGGATAAGGTAAAAGCCAGAAAGTTGGAATATGGTTTCAGGGTAGGATACCCTATAATTTACCATAGAAGGGTTTAGGATAATGATATTCCAACTTTCTGGCTTTTGCCTTACAGGTTTGCTTCCTAAATGTCGGGCTTCGGATGCGCGGGCTCCTTTTAAGAGGGGTCTTCAGGGGCTACTATCAGGGACACTATAAGGGCTCTATAGTATAGGGGCTCCACCCTGAGGGATCTATAGACGCTCCTTTAAGGGATGGAGGGTGTCCCTTTTAGAAGGGGTCTTCAGGGTTCTTGGGTGGGTTGATTTACCTTTGGTTAGTAGGGAATGGAAGACTGGAGGTAATAGTAGTTTTAATTGTACCCCATTCCTCCATTCCCTACTAACCAAAGGTAAGCTGAGGGTTTTGAGACGATAAGGGAGTTAGGGTTTGTGGTCAGGGGTGTATTTCTTTACAATGTCACCAAGCTTTAAGGTTTCAACAAGCTTCCTTCTCACAGCTAGGAATTGCGACGGCTAGGCTTAACGGAGTATCAGCAACCTGTATCGGCGCTATACCGCCAGTGTTCTGAAAAAGCAGATGCAGGATCCCATGTCGGTTCCATTCTTCTTTTCTAGGGTTCTCTGCCGAGGAGGTACATACATGCATTGCAGGCATCAGGGAACTTAGAAAGAACTTCCCCTCACAGCCATGACCGGGTTTCAAGTTACCCCAAGCCAGTTCCTGACTATTTAGGGGCCTGTGCTACCTTGCTTCAGCCAGTAAACCCTAAACCCTAAACCCTAAACCCTAAACCTTAACCGTTGCGAGGTCCAACAAGGGTGGTTGGAGATTCTACCAATTGACACGGCTCCTCTGATGCTACATGCAGAAGCACCTGTGCTGCGGCAGGACCGGGTTTAGGGTTTAGGGTTTAGGGTTTAGGGTGCCAACTTCAAACCCTAAACCCGAAACTTTAAATCCCTACGCCAGTTACGGCCTGTCCAGGGGTCATCACTAGCTCTCAATCTTCAAACCCTCTCCCCAAACTCTCAAACCCCAAACCCCCAAACCTAAACCCTTAACCCAAAATCGCCCAAACCGCAAATCCCAAACCCCAAACCCTAAACCTTATAAACACACAAACACACACACACAACCTGCAGCCCATGGAGGATGCTAGCCTTGAAGTGGTCTGGGCCGAGGTGCGAGAAGACCTTCCTGTAAGGGCTCCATATAAGGGATCCTTAAAGGGTTTATATGGGTGGTTGTCAAAATTAGGGTCCTTTTTTTGGGTGCTTATCATAGTACGGCACCTAATTTTTGGGGGTGCCCAAAAAGGGACCATAATTTTGACAACCACCCATATAAGGGTTCTATAAGGATACTTTGAGGGTACCAGAAGGGTTCCTGAGTAGTACCCTCCCTTCATAAAACCGAATAGTAGGAAAAAAAGGGTACCCTTATTATAAACAGGCAGTCGATGGACCTGGTAAACTTAAGCTTTCATAGCCTACTTTTTGGTAGGTTCTTACTATCATCCCCCAATATGTGATGAAGAAGGACCCTACCAACCAGAAGGTTCTGTTAGCTCAGGGTAAATATGAGGATCAGAAGTGCAAACCTTGGCAGCACCCACCCTTTAAGGTAAAAGCCAGAAAGTTGGAATATGGTTTCAGGGTAGGATACCCTATAATTTACCATAGAAGGGTTTAGGATAATGATATTCCAACTTTCTGGCTTTTACCTTACCCCCAAAAGCCCCAGTCTGAAAACCCTAACTTTAGGATGTCCTTAAGGGGGGGTGGTCCAAGGGGGGTAGGTAACCTAGTAATCCCCATTATTCCCCAATACTCCCTAAGCTTCCCTAAGGTTCCCCAAAGCTCCCTAGTACCCTCCCCCCTTGAACCACCCCCCCTTAAGGATCCTATAATAACTCTTACTCTGCGGCCTCTGTGCCCAACAAACCCTAACCACCAACACCCCAGAGCAAAAGCCCTGAATCCTAAGTTGTAAATCCTAAGCCCGTAGACCCTCCTAAGACCGAAAGCCCAGAACTAGGTTGGATTTTGGGACATTTTTTGCTTTCCTTATTTGGGTTTATAAGGGACCCTATATATAGATATTTTTCAGGGTGTTCAAAGGACAACCCAGAGAAAAGCCTACTTGGAGGTTCATGGGACTTAGTAGGTACAGTTATAAGTACCCTAACCGGGGTTATAAGTAATTATAAGTATAGTTACCTTATTTATAACCCTAGTTACTAAGTTCCATGAACCTCCAAGTAGAAGGCCTTAACCCCAGGTGCAAGAGGAATCGCCAGAAGCGGAGAAGCCGCTCACCGTGGCCCGCTTGCTACACCTGATGGAGGTGCATGGAATTGGGACCGACCGTTGGCGGCATAGTATAGGGTTTTGGGTTTCGGGTTTAATGTTTTGGATTTTAGGGCTTAGGTTTCATAGAAATTGTTAGGGGTTTGGGTGCCGAAAACATTTCGACCGAAAGTTTTGACCGAAACGTTGTTTGACCACAAGCTTTGCCCAAGTTTTTTCTTTACATTGGAACCAGTTTGAATGTGTTGCTGGGCTGGGGCTGGAGGGCCGGGTGTGTGCTGGGCTGGTGGGGCTGCTTGGAGGTTCATGGGACTTAGTAAGTACAGTTATCAGTATCTTGACTGGGGTTATAACTAGTTATAAGTATAGTTACCTTAATTATAACCCTATTTACTAAGTCCCAAGAACCTCTACGTGGTGGGGGTGGATGTGGCTGGGCTGATACGGCTGGGGATGGGGCGGGGGGCTGGCTGGAGCTGGGCGCTTGGTTGGGGCTGGGCTGTGGCTGGGGGCAACTGCGGTTTACTGAGAAAAAAAGGCACGCATTTTCTTTTTATGTCTTTCGTGAGGGTTTAGGGTTTACCTTGGGATCCGAAAACCTACCGTTTTAAGGGTTCGACCCTCTAATTTAGGGGTCATAACCTACTGTTTTGTAGGGTTTGGGGCCACAGGTATCTTTTGGGTTTAGGGGACCCAAGTAATTAGTTACAACATCCCTTTGTATACTAAGACCCACTATATTACTCCATCGGAGGGGGCCCTCCACAGTTATTCATAGGGATCCTTAGGGGTGTAGGGGGAGGGGGGGTAGGGGGCCTTAATGCCCATAATAAGGACTAATAAGGACTATTTAAGAAAATATAGTCCCCTACACCCCCCCCCCCCCCCCTACACCCCTAAGGGTCCCTATGAACAGATATGCACGGACATCTGTCGCTCATATAACCGAATCAAGCGCACTTGTGGCACTTTGACCACTTTGCTACAGGGTATAGAGTCCAGAGTCTTCACTTTTTGGCTGCTATTTTACTTTGGGCCTATGGCTGCCTAGGATGGATGGATGGATGGATGCGGGCCGGTCAGCAGAGCGGGCCGGGCAAATGAGGCAGGGAAGCCTCCTGTCCCAAGTCCCACAGCACACGCGGCACAGACAGGGAGAGTAGGCCGGGACACGGAAACCGTGACCCAAGCACACTCACCCATGCCGGAGCAGCGGAGAGCGGAGGGCGAGGACAATGATACTCAGAGGGACGGGTCCCTGCTCCAGACATCTTCAGCGGGCGTGAGAGGGCATCACGTCAGCCCGAAGGTGTGGAGCCCCGACACCCATGAATACTTATTCAGCCAGCTTGCTCCCAGAACTGCTTGCTCCCTCGTTCAATGGTCAGCGCAACACACGCAGCCGGAGCAAAGAGCATCTCATGAGGCTGGGCGTTGAGCAGCCCTAAAGCACGCTCCCTTGGACATAGGAGCTCACAGGCATCACGCAGATGCGGGTGATGGCTGATGCGGCATTCGCCCAGCACATGAATGTAGGGAGCCCATGTCTTCTTGTTGCAGAAAATGCAGCAGCGAACTTTGGCCTGCGACTTACAGCCATTTACATGAGCCAAGTCAAGCGTGCCAGCTCTCAGCCGACACAGGGCCCGATGCCCCAGAAGCGCTTCCCAAGGCAGCGAGACAGAGAGGAGAGCAGCAGGAAGAGGAGAGGGACCGGAGGACAGCAGAGAGAAGGGGAAAGGAACCAGATGACCAGAGCAAGACGACCAGAGCACAGCAGAAGCCGCAGACGACAGCAGGGAGCGAACAAGGACGAGGTACGATTTGACAGAACCGCAGCCCTCTGCATCCGGGTAGTCAGGGATGTCGTGCTCTTCCAACAATGTCAGGCTCCTGCGTGCCCAGGAAAGTGGCACGGCATGCGACTGGATGAAGATCTCGCCATACAAATCCCCTTGAGGCAGCGTCCACAGCCTAGCCCTCCGACCAGCAATGTCTAGAAGTGCGCGATGACGACCACATAGTCCCCATCCGAGTTCCATGTGTGCAATGGCAGCAGAGCGCCATGGCGGACTGTGCAGGAGAGCACACGCCCAACGGTTAAAGGCAGCGTCATACTTATCCAAGGCCCCAGGAGCGGTCGCCAGTAGCCATCGTCCAAACCGCAGGCTACCCTCTACCTTTGCATCAAAAAGAGCGAGTGCAAAGCAGAGCGGCAGGCCGCCATTGTCCAGCAGACTAACAATGTCAGAAACCAGCAGGTTTCCTCTTTGTATACTCGACTCTAGCGCAGAAGCAAAGTCAAGGTTTGCAGGCCACACAAGCCCCAACCACTTGTGCCGGGTCTTGGTATGTATGGGGCAAGGAGCAGCACCGATGAGCGGAAGCACAAGACGCGGATCCATCTCACCTTCAGGTAGGAGCACAACAGTTTTTGCAGGTCCCACATGGAAGGTAGCTTTGTGAGCAAAGGCCCACCTTGCAACATCATCAAGCACTGCCATGGCGGCTCCTCGGCTGGAGCAGACAATAACTGGGTCATCTGCATGCAATACCAGGTTGATATGCGACGCAGCCATGCGATCCATTGCACGAAGACATGAGGCCATAAGGGTCTCGTCCCTGCAGATGCTGTCCGGGCTTGGCAATAGAGCACGACCCTGAAGTGCTTCCAGCAGTTGTAGCACCACGGCTTCGTCTGGCACCCCTTGCCAATGCCAAGCGACATGTTGCCAGGCCGAGGGTACAGTACAACCAATGCCAAGGCCATGTCCTCTGTCTTTTAGAAGCACGGTGAGAGAGTTGAGCCACGTGGTAAATAAAGCCTGCAGGCCCTAAGACCCCACCTTCTGGAACGCCTTCAAATTTGACCAGCGCGGAGAGGCCATGCAGATTAAGCACGGGCGCATCCCAAAAAAGCATATCAGCAAGTAGGCCACGACCGCCTCCATCTAGGCCTGCTTGAAGACAAATTTGAGTAAGGAAGTCATCCCGCCATGTTCTTGGAAAGGCACGCGCCAGGTCACCCATGATGGTAAGGATGGGAAGTCCAGAGGCCCGCCGCGCAGCAGTGAGTTCATGTAGAACTAGCTGGGCGTCGGAGACATCACGCACGTAGCCTGACTGCCCTGGTTCGATGCCACGCAGAAGACATGGCTTGATTCGATTGATGAGAACAGCTTCCTGTAACAACCCCATTTGCGAGCGGACTTCCAGAAATCGCCAGTTGTCAGGTGAAATGACAAGTCCCTGCTTATGCTTAGGAACAACAAGCGTCCGTCGCCAGAGGTCAGGTTTGAAGGCTAAACACCCTGGCCCTGCAACCTGAGAAGCAGAAAACAGCAGGCATCCCACTCCCTGTTGCGTAGGAGGAACGCCGTTCTTGGAATTAGATCTGGTGTTGTGGCCAGTGACTTGCTCCACTTGTCCATAACAACAGATACTTCACTTTGTAGCACGGGTGCATCGTACGCCCCGCGTCCTCGATTAGCCCATGCACGCGGGTTCTCTGCTTGACACGATGCTTTGACCTGGGCATCGTAGCTAGCATCCCACGGATACGGCCATTCACTTTGTCCCAGAAAAGCCTTGCACCATTCAGTGTGCACCACCCCACCAGTCAAGATGGCACCATCTTTTACAAGACAAGGCAGAGGAGAAGGCGAGGCAGGTTTCAGAAATCGAAAGCAGCGGTTCGCCAGTGCACGCGGAGCAGCACCGCGCGCACAAGAAGCTGCTAGCTTGCGCAACCACGGGTCTTCAGGTCCCATGGCCCCGCCAGCATGAGCACATTGGTAAGTACGCATTGGTGCGTTCCACGGTCTCACGACCCAGCCTTGTAGAACAGTCGTCGCTATGAAAGTTTGCACCCATGTGGCTGCATTTCCAATCCATTGCGCAAGTTTCTTCTTCAACTTGCAGCAGCTTCGCATGCCATCGCTGTTACATGCGACAGGTTGCAAGAGCCTGTTGAATGACTGCAGGGCACCGCCTGCAGCTAGCCATCCTGCCCGCCATCTACTTTCGTCATGTAGCCATAGCGGCATGCCCCCTGTTTGGCGCATCTCAGGCAGGAGAAAGTCGTCAACGACATCAGCATGCATCAGGAAGTGGTCACCTCCAGTGTATTCTACGCACAAAGGCCATGGACATTCCTGTTCCTTGCAGCAGTTTAGAGAGTTGTGAATTGTGACCTCCACATCTACAGAGGGTGAGGCCACAACGAGGTCAATGGCACGAGAGGTACCGCCTGCAGCATCGTGATGAGTATCCCCAGGCCGGATCTGCACCGTTTTCTGGCGCAATGGCAGCAGCACAGGAACTGCTGGACAACTTCTGAGGCTTGGGTTGGCAACCGTGAAACAGTGCATCTCAACAAAGCTATTCCACCGACGTTCCCTTTGCACCCTGCGATCGGGTCCAGCTCCAAGCAGACCTGGTTGTATGTTCATGTCCCCTAGCAGCAAGACATCCAGTTTGTTTCCATCGGAAGCAAACTCACACTCAAGATGTCTGAAGTCATTATCAAGACCATCAAGTTCGTTGCACCATGCAGCATCCCCATGCGAGGCATTGTCTGGAGGCAAATAGACCGCACTGATGAAAAGCGGCGGTTTATTCACTCTAGGAATGGCCAGGTGGAGGCGTCTGGGCCCTCCTACATTGGCCAGAGGAACAATTGCCTGCAATTCCTTCCTCCACATGATAGCACAGCTGTCAAAGTTTTGGCCCTTTCGGCAAAAAGACTGCAAGCACCAGTCATCAGGTGCCTTGAAATTATCAGGTAAGCGTGCTCCTGGCAAGATAATCAGGTCCAAGTCCAGAGCACGAATTGCCTGCAAAATACCTGTTTGTTCATGCGTAAAAGTACTCCACTTGATGTTTTCTCCTCGCGTAGCAACACATCCAGACATGCTTGGCGATCCAAGTCCCACACGCAGTCTGTCCCGGACACACCCTTGCGGTTGTTGCTCCAGCCTAGAATAAAGAGACAAACACTCCAGCGCATGCACCCTTCCAAGCAACAATGTCTCATGCAACTCCTTTGCCAACACACTGAAGCAGTCACCTCGCGACACAAAGAACTGCAAGATTCCTTGCGCGCTATCAATGAGCCAATTGGCCTCCTGTAGCAAGCTTCGCCAGTGTTCCTTAAGAAGGCACACCACCCCTGGAAGCAGCACCAGCTGTAAAACACATTTCTTGACCAGAGCCTTCACCTCACACGGCAATCCCATGGTTACTGAGACGGTCGTATCAGCACAGCACACAGCCCTTTAGCCATAGCATTCCTAGACAGCTCTTCAGAAGCCAAAACCATCGGCATGACGTCAATGCTGCAGCCACGCAGACATTATGCACGTCAAGCAGCCCGCAACAGTCTGACAACTTTTCACAGGAGTCACAGCATTGTGCCTAGGGCTTATAGGATTCCAGGGTTGTTGAGCGTTTGGGATGACTTTAGAAGTATAGGGTTCAGGGTTTGCCTGGCTGGGCAGCAGGGCTTAAACGCCTTTCATGACGCAACTCGGGCTGCCCGGGTATAATAAACGGAGCAGAGGAAACTGGGGAGGGGGGGCGGGTTTCTGGGACGTTCGGTGTGTTTCTTGGGGTGGCGACTCGACAGAGCGAAAGCATCCGAAAATGGCTTCGTGCTCTCTGACATCAGGGGTTTCTATATAATCCCTTTCTAATATGGGGGCCTGTATTCACAGAACAGGGTTTCGAGGCGTGCGACAGTAAAGATTTCTAGGCTTCTAGGACGAATCCGAAGGTATTACTCATTATTCCCCATCCCTAAGAAAAACACTGTTAAAACCCTGAATAGGTGCTTGTAGGACGCCATGCTTTACTGGACGCCTTGCAAACCTGGAAAACACCCATGACGCCCTCAGGCAGCTCTATTAAACTAAGTTGTTAGACACCTCGAACATGGCACAGAAACCCTAAGGTAAGAGCCAGAAAGTTGGAATATGATTATCCTAACCCTTCTATGGTAAATTATAGGGTATCCTACCAAGAAACCATATTCCAACTTTCTGGAGTTCCCTTTAAAAGCCCCAAGCCCACTTTCGCCTCAGGATGCGTCGATCCCCGAGCATTTCGATACTTGGCCGCATGCCACATGTCTCCGAAACCCAGCAGGGTTTGGGGCTTTTAGTGTGTAGGGATTAAGGTAAAAGCCAGAAAGTTGGAATATGATTATCCTAAACCCTTTATGGTAAATTACAGGGCATCCTACCCTGAAACCATATTCCAACTTTCTGGAGTTCCCCTTATACAGGTTTCAGGGTTAAGGTTTACACTTAGGGGTGTAGAGTGTTTTTAGGGTTTAGGGTTGAGGGTTTAAGGGTTCAAGGGCTCAAGGGTTTTAGGGTTTCAGGCTTGAAGGGTTTAGGGTTCAGGGCCACACATTCAGAAAAGTCCGGGGTCTAGAGTCCTGAAATTCTTCAAGCCTTGCATGTACGATCAACTCTCGGCGGTGTCCGAAGTTGAAGATCATAAACACCTCACTCCTATACATGTACATAAGCCATAAACCCAAACTCTGAAACCCAAGCCCCTATAAGTCATATGAGTCATAAGTCCGCCTACTTTCTATCCTGCACCAGGACTGCATTCTATACACTAGGTGCCATGTTGTGCAGAAAGACAGTCAAGCTGCAGTATATTGCTAGGGTTTAGGGTTCCAGGATTTCGGGCAACCCTAAGCCCCTAGGTTCCTGGGTAGGACCCTTTTGCTCCTCTTATTTCAGGGCCCCCTGTCAAAACCGAATAGTAGGAAAAAGGGCACCCTCATTCTAAAGGGGCTACTCAGGAACCTAGAGTCCCATGAGCCTTTAAGTAAAGGGAGCCTTATTATCTAGGACCCAGAGTAGGCCCTTATTCCTTTTTTAGGGTTTAGGTTCCCTTATAACCCCCTTGAAACCAAAAAAGGGCGCCCGTTTTTTCCCCTAGGTTACTCTTAGGTCTAGACTTGCAACTGTGCCATGACCCTCCAAGTATGGATCATAAGTAAGTCAGTTCTACAAGAGGACCCAGGGTTTAGGGTTTCGGTCTAGTTACAGAACCCTATGGTAACCTTCACCCTAAACCCTGATTGTTTTTGTGACTGTCACGCCGATGGACCCCTATGCCAAGAGTCCTACACTCTACGCCTTGTTGAGGGTTTAGCGGTTTGTGGGTTTAGGGGTTTGGGGTTTCCGGGGTTGAGGGGTTTAGGGGTTGGGGTTTTAGGGTTCAGGGTTATGGCCATAGTGGACTTGCATAGGTTATAGCCAGTTATAGCTTTACTATTGGGTTTGATTTGGGCTTCAGGGATCCAGGATAGATTTATGCTATACAACACCGATAACCCTAGTGCGATTATTGGGGCCCCTCCAGTACACCCCAAGACGAAATGCCCAAACCCAGGACTTGGCCCAAAGCCCTCACTACACAAAAACCCATCCCAAAGATACCCAGACCTGCAAAAATCCTTCAATTAAGAGGGATCTTATCGTAAGGGATTTTGGACGATCTGGCTATGAGCTTCCTCTTCTGGAGCAGAAGTAAGGTTTGGGGCTTTTGGGTTTCGGGGCATGGGTTCAGGGTTCACGATTTTGTCCGTTGTCGTGCCGCTGAGTATAGTAGAAGCCCGAAAGTTGGAACATCATTATCTTCATGTCCTTAAGATAAAGTGCAAGGGATCCTAGCACTAAGTTGAGGGTTTCAGAGTTGGTGTTGACATTGGAGTCTCTGGGTCGCGGAGGAGAAGTTGCTGAAGAGAGAGTACTTCGAGCTCTGCAAGAAGCATTTTGCGCCGAGAGTGAAGATGAGCGAAGCGTACTGGGCATGGCACGTCCTCCAGGATTTGAATTAGGGACCCACAAAAGACATGGACGCATTTTAGAGGGATATCCCCACCTGATTGGGCTTCATTATAAAGGGGGCCTTATGTGGGATATCCTCATTCTGCATTTTGCTTATGTGTTGTTTTGTGCCTCAACTTGTTGTCCTGAGTTTGCATCAGGATCTGGTATTGAGCTTTCCTAGTGGCATTTTGGTCATTGTTCCAACGCCACCCTGAACTCCACCCTAAACTCTACGAGCCAGCCAGAACCAGAACCGGAGCGCGAACGTCTAGAGATCCCCTAGAATAGCTGTTAAGGACCTCTAAAGACCTGCCGCCAGATCCGTGCAAAGCACTTATAGGAGCCAACTGCTCAGGACCCTACACCAGAGAGCCTTTAGAAGACCCTTCATGTACCTTAAGTTACATGGTGGATCCCAGTAACATTTTGGGGGTCCAGGTTCATTTTTTGAATCGCATTCGAGGTGTTTGTTTTACGTTAGCCGATACCTAAGCCCTAAACCCTAAACCTTAAGCCCTGCACTCCGAAACCGCACACCATAAATCCTGATAATCCAGCGTAAAGCCTTGGAAGCCCCCTACGCCCGGAAGCCTTGAGATCTAGACCTTAAATCGTCACACTTTCACTTCCATCTTCCAACCCAGGTCCTTAGTCGTACCTTGGCGCCCCTTTTACTTTGTGGTTCCCGTATTGAAACTGAATGTTAGAAAAAGGACTAGCCTTAATTATTCTGGACGGGGTAGTGTGGAACGAGGGGATGTGCTGCTAGGCACGGAGAACCTTTCGGATTTTGGCTGTCGAGCAGAAAGGACTGTGTTGCGGCAACCGCTATGGAAGCCAGAACGCTACAAAACCAAAGCAGGGCCCAAGACGGGTAATACGGTTGATGATTCATGATATAAATCCTGCACTACCCGTAATAAGGTAACATACCATAATTCCCATAGTTTAGGGTTCTTAAGGTAATGCAGGATTTATATCATAACCCTAAACCCTAAAACCCTATAGATCCATTAAAGGAACCCCTTAAAGGTACCCTTGTAGATCCCTTTTATATCACCAACCGTAGTTTAGCAATGCAAGCCCAAACAAAGGTCTGCCGCAGCCGTCAATCTATCCGGATCTATCCGTATAGAAAACACGAAGATGTTGTTTAGTCCTTTAAGGTTCAATGGACATAGTCTTAGATACAGGTAGTGAAAAGATAAGGAAAAGGAAGGATGCTGATTGATGATTGATTACTGATGATATAGAGGACCCAATACTCAGAACTTATGAATCTAGAGCAGCTGTAGCATGGCAAACACCCCGAGTTCTACTCTACTTATGAAAGAAATTTCATTGCTCTTGCATGTGGGTTCCTGCAGGATGATGAGTTCGAGGTCGAGATGTTCTGGAACCCAGCGGAATCGAAAGGAAACCTGCTGAAGCTCTTCGTCACCGATATGGGGCAGGCTCCTGGGTTCAGGGCTTCGGGTTCATAATTTTGAGCTTGAGGGTTTTTGCTTAGACCCTAGACCCTGAGCCCCACACGCTGATCCCTAAACCCGTATAGAACTCGTATGGAACCCTTAAAGGAGCCCTTATCGAACCCTTATGGATCCCTGTATGGGACAGGCTCTGGTCACGTGGCTGTGGAACAACGAGCGGCAACTCGTTCAACCGACCCTGCGTGCCGAGATCGAAGAGCGGACGCGATGCTCCGCTGCAGTTGTGATTCCCCCTAAGAGATCTATCAAGGCTGCCTAACCATACGGGTTTTAGAATGACGTAGACACCTGATTAAGAAACACCCCGAATCCTGCAAATCACTGCAAATCCGTATAAAGAACCCAAATAGCGACCCACAAAATTCTTAATCAGGTTCCCATAAGATCGCCGGCACTATAAGGTTTGCCTGAAACCCGAAACCCATTTTGGGGTGGCGTAGGAACCCGAGATCTAAGAGAGGACTCGATCCATGCCATGAGTCTGCGCAAGAGGAGTTTGCGCTTTGGGTTTCTCAGGTGTATGTAGTTCGATGTGTACATATAACATATATATATATATATATATATACGTATGCCTCGTTCGGCCCAGTTATTCTGGAGTGTCGGGTGGTCGTTGACAAAGACTAGGTTCCTGAGTAGTACCCTTTTGCCTTTTAAGTTTGGGGTCTCCCCACTGAAACTGAAGAATAGAAAACAGGCTGCCCTGATTATTCAGGGGTTTCTGAGGAACCTAGTAACCCAGTAGTTCTATGTGTGCATATATATATATATATACATATATACACATATACGTACATATTTAAAAATATATACATATATATATATATATATGTATATATGTATGTATACACACGTACACACACACAGGTGTGCATGCCTCACCATGTATACATA